GGTGGTCGGCTATGGTGGACGGGTGTGGGTGATGGAGGAAGAAGAAGGGTTGAAGGTGGTCGGCTATGGTGGACGGATGTGGGTGATGGAGGAAGAAGAAGGGTTGGGGGTGGTCGGCTATGGTGGACGGGTATGGGTGATTGAGGAAGAAGAACGGTTGGAGGTGGTCGGCTATGGTGGACGGGCGTGGGTGAAGGAGGAGGAAGAAGGGTTGGAGGTGGTCGGCTATGGTGGACGGGTGTGGGTGATGGGGGAAGAAGAAGGGTTGGGGGTGGTCGGCTAAGGAAGAAGAGTTGGAGGTGGTTGGCTATGGTGGATGGGTGTGGGTAATGGAGGAGGAAGAAGGGTTGGCGGTGGTCGGCTATGGTGGACGGGTGTGGGTGATGGAGGAAGACGAGGGGTTGGAGGTGGTTGGCTATGGTGGACGGGTGTGGGTGCCGGAGGAAGAAGAGGGTTGGAGGTGGTCGGCTATGGTGGACGGGCGTGSGTGAAGGAGGAGGAAGAAGGGTTGGAGGTGGTCGGCTATGGTGGATGGGTGTGGGTGATGGAGGATGAAGAAGGGTTGGAGGTGGTTGGCTATGGTGGACGGGTGTGGGTGATGGAGGAGGAAGAAGAGTTGGAGGTGGTTGGCTATGGTGGACGGTGTGGGTTATGGAGGAGAAAGAAGGGTTGGCGGTGGTCGGCTATGGTGGACGGGTGTGGGTGATGGAGGAAGAAGAGGGGTTGGCGGTGGTCAGCTATGGTGGACGGGTGTGGGTGATGGAGGAAGAAGAAGGGTTAAAGGTGGTCGGTTATGGTGGACGGGTGTGGGTGATGGAGGAGGAAGAGGGGTTGGGTGTGTTCGAGTTTGGAGGAGCGGTAGCGGCAATGAAAGCTTATCGGACACACCCTAACTCTTAACCCCATGCCCCCTTTTCTATCCGGGTGCCCGGCCACCTCCTACTATTCTCGGAAGGCACCGGTTACGTAAAAGAGGAAGGACTGAGCGGGTCTACCGGATTGCAACACACACACCTACTCATTCCGCAGATCACCAGCTGCAGCAAGGGTTAAGGGTGGACCGAACAGGTTATCGGGGACTGCAGCACACACACACATACACATACCGGGAGTCACAAGTTACAGCAACGGGTAGGGGTGGACTGAACAGGTTACTGGGGACTACAACACACACACATACACATACCGGGAATCACAAGTTACAGCAAGGGGTAGGGGTGGACTGAACAGGCTACTGGGGATTGCAACACACACACACACACACACATATCGGGAGTCACAAGTTACAGCAAGGGGTAGGGGTGGACTGAACAGGTTACTGGGGACTGCAACTCACACACATACACATACCGAGAGTCACAAGTTACAGCAAGGGGTAGGGGTGGACTGAACAGGCTACTGGGGACTGCAACAGACACACACACACACATACCAGGAGTCACTGGTTACCGCAAGGGGTAAGGGTGGACTGAACAGGTTACCGGGGACTGCAACACACACACATACACATACCGGGTGTCGCCGGTTTCAGCAAAGGGTGAGGATGCACTGAACAGGTTGCTGGGGACTGCAACTCACACACATGCACATACCGGGAGTCACAAGTTACAGCAAGGGGTAGGGGTGGACTGAACAGGCTACTGGGGACTGCAACACACACACACACACACACACACACATACCGGGAGTCACCAGTTACAGGAAGGGGTAAGGGTGGACTGAACAGGTTACCGGGAACTGCAACACACACACATACACATACCGGTCGTCGCCGGTTACAGCAAAGGGTGAGCATGGACTGAACAGGTTACCGGGAACTGCAGCACACACACACACA